ATACTGTTTTAGAAGTGGAATAACAAATTGTCCAATATTAGGTGCACTGCTCCGCATGTAGAGGAAAACATCAAGAGCTCTCACCTTTATAAAATCGACAATAGTGAGAAAATTGTTCATAACACCGCCACCAAGGCCAATCATAAGCACATTTTGATAATCCTCTGGATCGAATTTTAGTGCCTAAAATAGAAAAACCGGAATGAATTAGTTTCTGGCGAAATCTGCTTATTTTGCGCCTTTTTATTACCGGCGTGTCTTGAAGTCCAGAGGTCGCCGTGCTACCACAATACTGAGCAAGTAAATTTCAATCGTTTTCCAGTCATTTGAAAATTTTCAAAGAACACAGAAAGCGACTTACCTTACCTTTATTCAAAATTCTTTCTTTTTTCTGATAGCTATTTTTTCTATTCTGATATTAAAGCCTTTGCAATGTGTTGTTGTTATTTGGGCAATCTCATCCTAATGTCAAAATGCCCACCTCTCTCATTTGGATTTTCTATGATAATATTCAAAAGCACTAGTGGCTGTAATGTAGAGTAATTTTTTCGCTACATTTTTGTCATTTTGGGATTTTTGACCAAGCTCTTGTTTTTATAAAATTATATTTTTGAGGAAACTTGAGCTTTTTGAGCACATACGGCGTGTCAACGTGCCGGAACCAAAAAGCCAATTCCAAAAGGCACATCAGACTTAACCGTTCCGCTTAAATGAGGACTATGACAAGGAAGCTTTAACTATACGAAGTTTTGGAGGCTTTTTTTTCTGGGTCGTGTGTTTCATGATGTCGCATTTCGAGACAGACAAATGGTTTCATGAAACTTTGAATGGCAAGAATTATCAAGAAGATCTGATGTAAGGCACTTTTAGCTTTAGGTTCTCTAATTGCCCGACTATTACACTCCGAAAGTTTGAAGGAAGATTTCAGAAAAGCGGTTTTGGAAAGAAATTTTGAGTGGATAAATTTGGCATCTACCTGGGAGCATAAGAATTTGGTTCGAAAGCTTAGTTTTCAGGAAGTGAGAAGAAAGATGCAATAAATACATACCCGTTCTATAGTGGAAAGTACAAAACATTTGGGACAAACCATGTTAAGCGACATACCTGTGTCATAAATGGCACAGCTATCATCGCCCTGCAATAAACATGCTTGATAAATAACTTGTTAACATTCCATTGCTTGGTGTTGAAGTTCTTCCACGTTAATTCTGTTAAAACATAAAAGTTCTGAAAAGTTTTCAAAGCTCAAAGCACCGCCTACCTTGTGGCGTTTCCAGTTCGGCTGTTGTGATTCTTACCTCAGAATAGTCCCTTACTTTTGTAGAACGTTCAACAATTAGGCTAAATAACACTTTATACAGAACAGAAAATCGCTGAAAAAAGGAAGCACGACTTTTCATCTTCAAGATATGGGTGATCTGATATCAGATAGCATCTGTCTGCATCACAAACCTTCGCTATCGTTCTTTCCATCTAGAATTTAGCTTGTAATGCGCTAATAATCTGTATTTCTGTAAATAAGGCTCTTACCTTACTCGCTACAGCTCTTTTGATGTCCTCAGTCTTTCTAGTACTTCGCTTCGTAATTCCCCAGTAATGACCATACTGTGTAGCGATGTACTGAAGTGAACTGTTTGATAATCATTATTTACCCCCC